CAATCATAGTATCTGCTGGTAGTAACTAAGATTTTTGCCAGATATGAGGGGGTAGGGGAGGATACCAGATGAGGTTTTTATTGTGATTACACAGTAATGCAGCACAGACTTTAAGTCCTTCTGGATTTCTATCTGAGTGCAGAAGGGACTATAATTATAAACAGAACAACAGTTGCTTGTCAGCTTTGCTCCTTTTCAGCACAAATAGAATAATTTACTCCAAGGTGGCTTTTTAAGAAAGTGGAATTTCAGTGATACAAAATAATTATTGCAAAATGTGCATTCTTCATTATGCTGGCCCCTTACATACACGGTTTTTGTTAGAACAAATGAGAACAAAGATCTTTCTCTGCACAGTCTCTCAGGACACTCACATGGATGGTAAGCGTTCTACTCCTGCTTTCTATTAAACTTCTCTTTTCAAATGTCACGTGTCACAGCTCCTCTTTAACTGATGATACAGAACAGATCATTATATAAAAGTGTGGTGCTTGTACTCTGTAAAAACTCACAATCATTGTATGCATATTCAGATTAAACTTACAAAGTAGTTGGTTGAGATGATTTCACAAATATGCATGATTGAATGTCATCCCCATTAGCAACCGAGCTGCTTTCTGATTCATTGAAATGTCTTTATTTTCATAAACATGATCTGGGTATTTAAAGAGCATCTTTTGTCAAGTGAGAGTATGAATTATACGTGTATGTGGATAACACGAGGACGTGTTTACCCAGGGCTTGGATCGGGAGCTACTTTGAGAGAAAGGGCTGGGATCCTGGTGTTTCTATCTTGTGTTTTCTTCTGGGGCCACCCTTGTGCCTTGTACCTCTTCTGTCTCACACAAGCTTTGCAGCACTGACGAATAAGCCACCAAATGACAAACGTGCCACCACAGGCACGAGAGCCAACCAGTCCAAATGATGGGAAAGGAGCTGGTGGCAGCCAGCGAGCACAGCCATGAGCCTGAAAGGCACGGGATGAGCACTGCCAACAGCCTCGCTGGGAAAGGGCCCTTCTGGGAAAGGGCCGGAAGAGCCATCATGGACAGCTAGAATGTCCTGTGACACCGGGACACCACAGGCTTGGAACAGTGGGTCCATTTCCCTCCTCTGCAAGCAGTAAGCCTACAGCAGCTAGGGAGAGAGCAGCTCTCTGAACCCCTGCCCAAGCATTCACAACACAACAAGGAGGTTGGTGTGGGCAAGAGCAAATGATCTCCTCTTCCAGCCCCTGGGGACTCCCTCCAGGCCACCCCTTCTTCTGTAACTGTCACTTCTCCTACCACACAGACTCAGCACCTTCATAGCCCGTACCAGTCTCACCTTGCAGGACCAGCTCTGCTGCTCAGCACTTCAGTGCAGACCTTCCTCTGCATTGCTGGAGCTTAGAGAGGGCAGCAAGCCAAGATGTAGCCATCCTAGGAGATCAGGGAAGAGAAGGCTCCTGGTTTAAATACTGCTGTGTCCATGGGCACACCCTGACGAGGCACAACTGGGGACAGCTGAGGTTCCCCTCATGTACCCAACTTGGTGCTGCAGCAGGAGGAAGATGGCAGGTAAGTTGCTCCTATGAACACATCTGCTCCATTACTGGCCTTGCGAACACTGTGCCCAGTGCATAACCCCTTACAGAACCCGTTGAGGTTATACTGATGAGCTGTCACTTTTTGGTGAAGAGTTGCATGGCTTTTACTGGTGCTTGGCTGTACAGAGAGGGCACGTGTTCGGGATGGTGATCCTGAGCCATGACAGCATTTCAGGGAAGGCCTGACTGATGCTCTGCCGGGCTGGGGGGCACTGCCTGGGGGCTGTGAGTGTCCACAGACACGTCCCTGGGTGCAGCATTGGGAGGAGATGGAGCTGAGCTCCACACCAGCCAGCACTGCCCTGCAGCAGGCCGGACTGCCCCAGCCACGGGGCAGTGGGTGGTAGTGTGAGTCAGGTAAGAACCAGAACCACTCGAAATAATGCCGTTTTCTCTTGGTTGCATCCAGACGTAAACCCTGGTGCAAAGTCCAGGCACGCCGTGTGATGGCGTCCTCCCCGCTGAGGTTGAGAAGGCTGTCCAGCCTGCAGCTGGGCTTGAAGAGCAGCACTTAACAGGCCGGGAGAGAGAAGAGAATTTTACTTGCAAGTGAGTTCTCGGCAATCACCTCTCTGTTGATGGTGGCATGGGGCCAAAGCATACGTCCAACTGTACCATTAGGAATCTCTGGTATAAAATTGTGGACAAGAGCTTAGCAAATTCTCCATCCACAGATTTAGCAGCTTGTATTTTAGAGCGGGGGGCTGGAATTCATGCATGAGGGATTTGCTTGAATGCCCATGGGGAGCAATGCGCAGTGTAATGATACAACGTACAGCCTACGTGACATAACTTACCAGGGGCCACATGTGATTTTATGTGTAAACTATTCTATGTTTACTGTGTAGGTGTTGATTATAAATTGTACCCTGTTTCAAAGCCTAACTCCAATGCTCATTGGCATGAAACTGTTTCATATAAAAGAAATGTTGTAGCATACAAACTTGAATTAACTATTAGAGAAATACTGGGGTGGAGGCCAGAAGAGACTGCACATCACACTGACGAGGCATTTGGTTTTGACCCCCTCCTCCACCCAAACAAGTCACCCCTGTGCGTGACTTCAGGCTTCCCAAGCAGAAAGCAGGCATCCCCCTGGCACCCTCCCTTTAAGTATTTATAAGCATTAGTAAGATCCCCCCTCAGTCTTCTTTTCTCTAGACTAGAAGAACCCAAGTCCCTCAGTCTTTCCATTCACCACAGTAACCACCTCAGACCCAGTCCCTTGAACTCACACGGGGCATCTCCCACTGACCAAAGTTGCGACCCAGCCAGAGCAGCAGGAACAGGAAACAAACCTTCCCCACTGCAGCTGCAAACCACTTTCTATGATTTGCCACAAAAGCAAAATTTGCTTCTGAGAGGAAGGGCTGTTGTCTCCTCATGCCGATACCTACTTTTCACTTGCAAGTTCTCAGCATTAGATCTGCGAGTAAACATCTTAACATGAGCCCACAATGTCTGTGAGTGAATACAGTCTGTGCAATCCAATAATTTATTAAACTTTCATCTTGTAAAGCCAGTTACAAATTAAAAAAGACAGCAGAAGGAATTCTGTAATAGAAATGAGCAAAATTACAACAAATAGTAATGGGAGTTACATTCCCAAGTGGGTTCAAGCTGCCTGCAGCAACCCAAGAGCCAGAACACAAAGATAGTGCAGAGTTAGGACAGGGATAATCAAGGCTATTCTGATACATCATAGAGATCTAGTCAGTGTACGGACCGATACAAAGTGTTACTTCTCAGGTTGCCTCTGCATTCCTGTTCTCTCTCACTTGTGACCTGCTCATCTTTTTATTCTTTGTGACGAAAAGGGGATGGTTGTAAGATCCCTTTAGTAAAGCTATTTAAGGCAAGACTCCAGTTTTCGAACATACGATACACAGTAGTGGCTTATCCTCTTCGGCTTGTTGTGTGGCAAGTGGACAGTGTTTGCACATGCTGCAGCGTGGTGGAAATGAGAGAAAAGCACAGATTATGTACAGTGTTTCTTCTTGTACTGTCAACCTCAAAACTATAGTGTTCTGCGACACAATATTAGTGACACAGCACAATTTGATGATGAATTGGAAGGGAAGCTTTAGCATACTGAGTCCTAGTTTTCTTTTCTATGAAATTTCTATTTCACAGCTCACAGGCCTTAGCTGCTACTTCTTCAGAAGTGGAGACATCTGATTTTAAACAAGCGGGCAATGAGGCCCACATTACATACAGCTCTTCAGTTTCATTAAGAAATTGAATGGGATCCCAAGACTAGACGAGGGTCATAGAAAATGGCTAGCCACAGGGTTTCTTGATTGTTAATGCAACCAATGTGTGATGTGACTGACATTGAATATTGTTTTAGACAATGAAATCAAGTTTCTGAAGTCAAGAGACTGAAGATGACCATCACCATTCACTGAGAAGAAAAAAAAAATCTGCTTCTTCAAATTGCAAGTAGCTATAAAAACCTCCAAAAAGCAGTTGTTTTGGCAAAACAGCATTGTTTTCAAGTTTTGCTGATGACTAGGGACCTAGAGGAGACTGGAAGGGGATTTGGGGATTCAGCAATGGGAGCACTTCCAATTAGAATTTGGAGGAGGATGAAGGATTTGGCATCTGCTTATAGTACAGAGGAAGTGAAATTCTTGCCTGTAACCATTTATCTAGGCACCTATTCACTCAGTAGGAAACAGTTCGCTTAAAACTGAAGTTCAGGGATCCCAGCCCTCCTAAAATCCTGTATAGAGAAAGAAGGATCTTAACGCAGACAGGCTGCTCACCATAAAAACCCCTTGCCTCCATCTAAAACCCAGAGTTTGTGAAGAACAGCTCTTCTGGATATGCACCTAAATCAGCCTCACCTTCTGGGCTGTACAGGGGAAAGGCAGTCATTAATTTTTAGGCAACAGGTGCTGCTTGGCATATACCTGGAATGGCACCTGATGGTCTACTTCAGTGGTGCTACTCCCAAAGATTTTCCCCTATCTTCGAGTATTTAGAATTTTAACTTAAAGTGCCACTTTACAATCGTGTACCTGTGAACTTCTATTGGAAGGTAAAGAATCACCTCGGGTGTTTCTATTTGTTTGTTTAATACTCTCTCACATAGGGTTTGACCTCTTCGTTGGACCACTTGCCTTCAATTACACAAAGGCATTTTCTTTTAAGACAAGATGAGATCATTAGTAGATCCTGAAATAAAACCCACAGTGACTTGTATTTTAGAATTGCTTGCAAAATAAATAAATAACAAATATTCTTTCAGCAGACCATGCTGCAATCCCATGATCCAGATGTTTGCATGTTGGAAATTCATAAGGAAGCTTAAGTCTGCCTCCTGTAGTGCAGAAATGATTCTTGTGAATTTTTCTGCCAGTATGACAGGTAATGGTCAAAGCAGCAGAGAAGACAGGCAGGAGGAAGATGCTTCTGACTTTGCTTCTTTAAGGTACACTGTTCACCAAACAAGCAAGGGGAAAACAAGCTTTGGGTCATTAATGTCTAACAACAGTTGTTACTGTTTAATGTCTTTGGGCAGAGGTGCAAATCCTATGGTATTGTAGATGTCACTTCAGTTTTTAAGTACAGTAGTCAGTCAAGTGGAGTCCTTAAAAAACATCTTTGCTACACTTGTGCTGGCAAGTTGCAAATACCAATCATTAAACAACTGCCTCTCTCCCATGGCAGTTCATTCCTATCACCTAGTCCAGATGCTAGCATGACTGTCCACACTGGTGGCTGATTTGACACTGCAGCGTTTCTTCACAATCATGTTGATGTATGCTTTCATGATCTTTATTATCTCGCCCACCTAGAGAGAGAACACAGTAGCAGAGGATAAGCACATTAAAAAAAACTGATTTCATTGAGGCATTCCAGACATTTTGCAGAAAAAGATTCCCCTTGTCCAAAGTCATGGCACAAAAATTTTACATGTTAATACAAAATGTGAACATGACAGTAAGGAACGAAATGCTTGACAAGATTGTGCTCTGGGTAGTGACATTTAAAGGCTTGTAGCTCAAAGAAAAGCAACTTTAATGCTACTAACCTTGGGGTTTTTTTTGAGTTTGTGAACTCCCCATTCATATATGGAAGGCAATAAAAAACCAAGCACACTCATGAACACCCAGAGTTTGAAATCCCCAGTGCACTGGAAGACCATGCAACTTTCTTCACTTTCTAAGCAGCATCATTTTGTTCTGTTTATCCCTGTATTCAAGAAGAGGTACCATGCCACTTTGGGCATGAGCTCCCTTCATCTTTTTCCTCAGCTGTCCAGTCCATTCAGCAAGAGTTTTTGCATATAAATTTGTCTAGTCTGTGGAAATTAGAGATTTACTGAAGTGCTAGTAAAACTGCACATACAAGAAGTCTTGTGCTTTCATATACCTGGGATGTTTCAAAGAACATTTCTCTCTCATCCACTGTAATTTTGAAGGTGTTAGGCTGTGGTGCTCCAAAGAAAACGATGTGCTCGTACTGGAAAGTTTCTAGTGGCTTAGGATCCCCTCGTTTGTAGACAGACACATTCTCTGTGCTGACTCCAAGCCAAAGATCATTTGGAAATCCACCCTCCTTGCACTGCAGAAAGAGAAACATGAAATTTTGCATAAATGCAGTGGAGGATTAAAACCTCTTTGATTCAAGGAGAAGCCCTCCATTTCTGGCTCCTATAAGACATTTCAACTCTTCAACCCAATAGAAAAAATAGGATGTCTGCAGAAGGAATCTCACAGGCACTCCTGCTGCAAAGATTCCAAAGTGACATGGCTGTGAGTCAAATACTAGTTGAGTAATAAATAATTGTAATACCTAACAGCTCTCACCAGACTTTGAGGTTATTTAGAAAGTCAATATGCTATTTATTATTTTACAGATAATACAAGCAACTTCCCATGGTAATACACCTAGGCAGCAACAAAACTGGAACTCTGGAATCCTACTTTAGCAAGCTAAGCACAGCGGTCTAAGTGACTCAGTCTGAGCAGGTTCTGTTGTATTGCTGCAGAACAGCATTGCACTTTTTTCCATTAAGGACAACAGAGCTTCATTTTACTTCCACTTCCACTAGCCGTCACGACCTACAGCTCAGAAAAGTTTCCCAATTCTATTGCTCTTCTAATGAAGTGGGAATTCACTGTCTCCCTTTATTTACCAGGGCGCACCAACTTGGTTGTTCTGTGCTCTCTGCTTCATACCTCTTTGGGTATGTGGCACTGCAGGCTTACCCTAAACTTACTAAGGTAAAATGCAGCTATTTCCCAAAATTCTCTTCTGCTGCTGAGCAATGAAATACACACAGCTGTATCTGTTCTCCAGATTGATGCCTCTCCTTGGCAGTAGCTACATGAGTTTATACATCGCTCACCTCAACATCAAAGAGGGTTGACCCATAGCCTGGCCACTCCTTTACAATGGACATGTATTTCACCATGGCCTGATGCTGAGAGAGGCCCTGCAGCTTGGTCCATTTCTGTGCTATGCTTGCCCGAGCAGCTGAAAGCTCTTCCTTTACCCACATCTCCATCATCTGCTCCTCTTCTACCTTCTGCTTCTTTACAGAGCCTGTCTTGAAGCTACGTTTCAATGTCCCTTCAAGGAAGCTGGTCCGTCTCCTCTCCAGAGTGTGACTGGTAGTGCCGCTGCTCTTTGTTGACTGCAGTATTTTGGATTTTAGTCTGTTAACTGGGTAGATTCCATCAAGGGTCCAACTTATTTTAGAATAATCTCCATGAAGATACTGCAACCGTAGAGCTGCCAGGCGCTGCAGAGTGTCTTCTGGTGCAGGAAAATGACCATCTATGAGGCTTTCATGAGCCTACAAGCAAACAAAAAGTCCCCCAAACTCATTAGAAAGCAGACACACACTTTATTCACAGCTGGGTCCATGTACAGATTCCTATGATATCTGCCCGTCCCAGCAGGAAAGACATAATTCAGGAGGTCAGAGTAGACATTATAATAAAGAAGTCAGAGTTTGTAACTGGTCAACGCAGGGGGAACACCTTTTTCTGTAAGCCTGGACAGGACTGAGATCTCTGAGGGGCCTCTATCCTGTACTGAAAGTCTTACAATAAGGGCTTTTTAGGTCTGGAACAGATGGGAGAGACTGGAATTGCAGCAATTTGTTTTGTGCTGTACCAGCTACAGTTCCTGTGTGGAGGTTATATTAAATACCAGAGAGTCAGATGTAATAAACTCAAGACTCTTAACCTCAGTCTCATTGCACACCGGCACTACCCACGTCCTCCTCTTTCACTTGATTTCTCCCCCAATCTTCTTGCTTTGCTTTGCCTGTTTATATTTACGGGTGTTTTTGCTACATCTATCTAATGTCTGCATAACATCTACTCTCCTATTGTTACTCCTCTTCCACCACTCTCTGCTAGTGAAAGCTGTGTAGGCTGAAAGCCTCACCAACAGGGAGTGTGGTACAATTGAGTTTCCACAGAGTACCATGAGGTCTTGTTCCTGACTGTTTCCTAGACATTCTGTAGTCAACAGTACTTAATATTCATTTCAAGAAAGCCCTCTTAGGGAACCATTGTCTGTATGACATACATGCCACCCATTTGACTGTCATCTTCATGACACCGACCCCCTTTAACACTTATTATTTTCAACAGCTATGATTTTCTGGAGAAAGATCAAAGTGTTCATTAGAAGTAAGAAAGATGGGACAGATCATACAACTGGGTTCTCCAGTCAGTTTAGTTTTGCATCCCTAATTGCAAGGTTATTTCATACCAGTGTGATCTCTGGCCTAAACAGCATTGTTGTGCTATGGGTTATAGTGACTTTAAAAAAAAATTACTCAGCAGATAAATATTGTCAACTACATTTTCGTTTCTTTTTTCTGCAGTACTCTTCTAGTGCCTCTCTGTTAATCAAAAGAAACTGGCCAAAAGATAGGATCCTTTTAGGCAATTCCTGTAACACCTCAAGGATGTGCTGTTCTTGTAAGCTGACACACAGATAGCTAGATGTAAAGAAAACTGGAAAATCTATGTTCTGCAAGCAGTTACTTTTAATGATTGTTCTTGAATAATTATTCAAATTTCTATTTCTTTTAAAATCAAAGATAGATTTTAAAAGCATTTTATTATCATTGGTCTTCCAGTTTTTTGAAGCCTTTGTTCATTTTTCTTGCTTTTGTTCTAATACTCCTGTTCCCTATAGAACTTCACAGTATATCTGCTTAGTAGATTCCAGGCAAAAATCCAACACGCTAAATTCTTCTGTTCAAACCAGCATTCCCACTTCTAATGCAAAGGTAAGCCAGTTTTCTGTATATTCTGTGCTTCTGTGACCCTGGAAACCAAATAATTCTCCCAGAGTGAGCTTACCTGTTCAAACATGAAGGCAAACTCCACACCATCTTTGGGAACATTCTCAATATCCAAGAAGCAATAAAGCTTAAAATACAGCTGCCACTGTCCTTCCTCCTCTTCTTCTGCAGAGCCAGCCAGTCTGTAAAATAGGAAAGAGGATGAGAGGGGAAAACCCCAGTAGCCAGAAGCACAACGGCACTGGGATGTTCACAGTGCATCTCATAATATGAAGGTACCCCTGGATTTCTGAAACAGAAAGCATGCAGAACTACCTAATTTACCAGGACAATCTCAGTGCAGCACAGTTTCTGGTAACTTCCATTTTTTCCTCTGAATCACATGAAATTTTGATTCAGAAGGACCCAAAGTTCTTATCTGATATACTTGATCAAAAAATGAGATCAATGGTTCTAGATAAATGCAAGAGTTGGGGGCAGGACACAAAGTATTTCCCATTTTCAACATACCCTTTCCATGTAATCTTGTGACCCTGAAAAGCATCAGCCTTGCTGCCATTTGGAACAATTTTAATTTTGTCTTTAGAAAAGATAGAAAATAGACAATGTCATTGCCAGCTTCTTTCGTAGTTTATTTCTTTCTTTGTGTATCTGGCCACAAAAATCACAGTCCGCAGTAAGAAATTAGAGCTGCGTTTCTCTGCCCAAATTATTGCTCTGTCTTCTGATATAGCTATCATGATCCCTGGAGGTGTTCAAGGCCAGGCTGGACGTGGCCTTGGGCAACCTGGTCTAGTGGGAGGTGTCCCTGACCATGGCAGGGAGGTTGGAACTTGATGATCTTTAAGGTCCTTTCCAACCTAAACCATTCTATGATTCTATGTAAATGGAGAAGATCACTATGAGACTTAAACTGTCCCTGAACTCTGCTAGTAAACCGTTACTCTTTGATAAAGGCACTACTAATTTTGTCCTGACACGGTGATAAAGAATGCTTCTTTGTCACCAAAATAGGTGTGAACATGGTTTTCCATAGTGAGAAAGAGCACTTGAACCTTACCAAAGGGAAGTTCAAACCAGAGTAAATGGTTGAATCACTGCAGCTGCTTTAGATGAAACCACCTGAGCGTACTATCACTTAACCCAGTGTTACATCCAACTAGGAGTTAAATATTTTATGAAACATTCTTCTACCTCTCAAACTTGGCCAAGATATCAGCCACAATCACCCGACTCTCAACAGCACGATCCACTTGCTGATTATGTTCAAAGAGTGCAAACATATTACGGCTGTCTTCCATTGCTAAACCTCGGATCAGCTTTTCAACCACCTGCAAAATCGGAGAGAGACAGACCACAGAGCAGATCACACACACTTCCACAACTAAGAATCAGTACCTCTTCAGGACACTCATCATTTCATAGATCTCCATCACATTTCTCCCTTGGTTATCTCATTTTCAGATTGAAGAATTCTAACCCTAAAAAAATCATTCCCTGCAAGGAAGTCATTACTTCTGTTCTTCTGTGAAGATTACTTCGCTGTTCTTCTGTGAACCTTTTCAATCTCCACTACCCTTTTGGAGATGGGGGAATTAGAACTCTGCACCAGATACAGGCATCTGATGGATTTAGATGTCATGATGATATTCTCGGTTCCTCTAGTAACAATTCCACTCTACTACTATTTTTACCTCTATTTAGCACAGATGTTTTCACAGGTGTGCCTACCATAAGCTGGAATCTGGCTTCTGACCTGCTAACGATTAAGTTACTGGTAGAATAATCCCTTTCAGAAGGATTAAATTATAAACTGAAATTTCAACCTGTCCAGAAAACTATGTTTAGCGAAGTCTTCAGAATTACCACCTTTCCAGAACACCAAAAAAGTTTAGGTTTTGCAATACAATTGTTAAGTGATATACTACAACCTGGGCGTAGGCCTTGCATAATTCTGAGCCTGCACAGTAAGCTGAGCTTTCCCGACAGGCTTTGAAGATACAGCAAAAAAAAAAAAAAAGTAATTAAAAAAAGAAAAAGATAAATTGGAGATGAATGGGAAAAAGGAGTCCCTTCAACAGACCCGGTATCCAGACACAGAGATGTGCTCACACCTAGTTAATGCTACTAATGCATTACCTCCCCAGCGCTTGTGTGGGAATTGATGGTAATTTTACAGGAGCCACCGCCATGGCAGTACACTGTTGTGGTCATTTCTTCACGGGTGAGAAGAGCCTGTATTTCCTCCTGGGAAGGCACAAACTCCCTCGTCTTTGTTCTCTTCAGGGAATCACTTATGAATTGCGCATACCTGTCTATTTCTGAGCCTGGAAAGAGGTCTTTTACCCTAATTGTAAAGAGAAGCAAAAGCAGCCCGTTACACAGTGAACCAGAAAGCATGTGTATTACCATATAACTTGGACTACTGCACATAAAGAGTTCAGTAGAGACAGTGATGTCAAGTGCAACCACAGGAACAATGAGCCTGCTTATTTCCTAAACCGTACAACCTGCTTTTACTAGTCATTCCAAAGTCACTTCAGTGGCATTTCTCCGCGATGTAAGAAATAAGCAGTTCCAACTTTCAGGAGTGTAGTACCAGCTGAATACAGCAGGATTAACTATCTTAATTTACAAAACTGAGATTATAAACTACAAAATCAAATGTAAACTTGCTTCATTTATTCTTAATTGTTTTTTTTAAGTTGCTGGCCGTGCTTCAGCCACTTTTATAGTATTTTCCAGAATCAAGAAGGTAGAAAGTAGATGGTTGTATACGGTTATCTTCCCTCCAAGGCCAGCAGTTCTAAGTATAACATTATCTGCGACTTCAGTGATAAAAACATGAAACGGCAACATGGAATATTCCTCAGCATCTTTTAGAACCAGGCCCTGAATGTAGCTATTTGGTGTGCTGGCACAAATTTCACCTTACTCTTTCCTAGCTTGGAAGGAATCAAATAGATTTTATTGAGCTTTCTCATCGTTCATGAATGGAGTGAGGGTACATGGCTGCAGCTCAGCCCCAATGCAGACTGCTTTTGAAAGCTGCATTAGATGCTGATCACCTAATGCTGAACATCATGGGAAGAAATATAAATGATTTAGTTCATTAAAACTGGAGGTTAAAGCAGATTAGAAATACAAATTGTAAGCATTATGTGCTTAGTTAAGCAAATACTGAAAAATTATAAATTGGATTTACAGTATAATCCTACTCCACAGTACACATTTTGCCTGTGGCAGCTGCAAGGTAGTACGTATTTCAATGTATATGAAAGTATACCTGCAGGTTGAGAATGTTTGTATGGACATTAGTAAGCAGTCGTTCATTGGCTGTAAATCCACTTTTAACACAGTCTCATGGTATTCTGTGTGGGTAGTCTTACTTTCCACATCCTTTTCACACAACAGACGGGTGGCAAGGGGGGAGTTTGAATACAACAGAACAACTGGTAGCAAGAATTGGGCGCAAAGGTAGGAGGCTGCAACACCACAGGAAGATGTTTGCACAGGAGGAAGGTGAGACAGATAACTACACAACAAGCAGTGGAAGATAAGCAGAGAGAAAGGAAATAGGCTGCGAATGAGAAGGACGTGTACCTTCTAAGGTGGAACTTGAGGTAGCGCAGGATCCCTCTACTGGGCAGAAAAGTGCAGCTCATACATGACATCAGCTGCCAGTGGTGCAGGTTCCCAGTACTGTTGGGATGCGGCATGTGATTAGTTTGTTTGATTAGCTGACAGTACACTTCATCACGAAGGGGCTTTAAATCATGGCAGGTCTGCAGGATGCCTTGGATAATGGGTATGGGGTCAGACACTGTCTCGATTTCCTGAAGGGAGTTAAAGATCTTCACTGCTTCATCCTGTAAGCTGCTGTAACCCTTCTCTTGTTGCACTGGGGAACGATCACAAAGGTGACAAGTGGTGAGCATCTCCATCATTTTCTACCGGCCCAGCAATGCTACTAGCAACTGTACTAGTCCATCACAAAAGAACGGCAACCTGAGCACTAGCTCATCTCCTGAACTTAAATTTATACTCGAAATTCATTAATGCTTCCCCTTCAAATGTGCAAATGCAGTTTTAATTAGTATTTGCCAATATCTAACTTGTCACCATTGCAAATCCATTTTTTTGGATATACTGCGCAGAAAAGCAGAGTAATGTTTTTAGGGGAAGTTAACATTGAAATCAAGTTCAAGCTTCAGTGTCTGCAGATAAGGTGCCAAGAGACAGCTTTTGGCACCTCATCTGCAGACACAGGTGAAGGGGTGGCAGAAAGTCATCTCCTCACCTGAGAGCAGCTCTAAAGCAGAGGGTCACTCATGCAGTTAAAGCTTCAGGTGCCTGAATGCAGACACCCAAGCCTGGCTTACATACTTCCAAAATTCTGTGTCATGCCGATGTTAGCTTTGACCCCTGAGCCAACACACAATTTTGGTGAACTGCTGTACCACAGATGCACCTTTTACCTATCGTACAGATTTAAAATGCCTACACCAATACCGGTTACATCCTTTAAGCACCTAAATGTCTGCTTTGAATTGCTCAGAAGTGTGTGATACTACCACACTGCTGCAGGCTGGCATCCTCCTTTGTGCATCTCTGGGGCTACAGGCCCTTCTGAATCTCCTCTACAGCCACTGCTTCTTCAGTGGCCATGCACTGATTGTACAATACAAATACACAGCCTGTGGCAACAATTTCCACAGTGTAAGTACTTGCTCTGTAATTTTTCTGTATTTCAGAATTTATTTTTTCTGTGCTTTTAATCTACCACTTAATTTAATCCTTGTATCATGAGAGACAGCGAGCAGTTACTCCCTTTTCACTTTCTCCACGACAGTCCTCTAGCCCTGAAAACTTCTTTTTGAGGCTGAAGAGTCCCGGTCTATTTAGTCTCTTAATTGTAGGCAAGTCTTTCTATGCCTTTGATCATCTTTGGGTAGGTTTTTACTACTCCTGTATCTTTGTTGAGATGTGGAAGGCCAAGCTGCATCCTGTATTCAAGATGCAGGTGCATGATACATCAATACAGCAGCACAAAGACTTTCTTTTTCCTTTTCTAAGCTTTCAAAACCTTGCATTAGCTGTTCTGTTTTGTTCTCAGCACAAGAGTTGCCATTTTCATAAAGCTATGTAAATTTGTGTTCACTTTCCTAAGCAGAACTAGATCACTCAGACCCGTCACTGCCTATGTGGCAGACTGTTTATCCCGTATACATTGCTTTGCATATCCAGATGGAAATTAATTTCTGAAAAGATTTTGTGGCCCAGTCACTCCATGTTAGAGATTTTTCTATAGGTCTTCAACAGCAGCTTTCAGTTTTCGTATGCCCGTCTGGAATCATCAGCAAATCACTTTGGTTTTCTGGTGGCCTATCAAACAGTCTAGCTCTTTCATGTTCCTGAAGCATTCGAAGAATGGATTCGTTTAGTCTGGTTTTACAGCAGCTTCTGTATGAATATTATCCCAGTGCCAGTTGCACGACGTAATCCTGTTGTAGGATTTCCACTGGAGCCATTCGCAACCCAGTTGCAGCTCAAGGATGACAGGCTGCACATCCCCCAGATGGATGATAAACTATCTGCCCCCATTTACTTTAAAATTCAGTGTTCTTAAGATACGAGGCAGTGGACACAGAATACATTCCAGGTAGAGAAACAGACTGCTCCCTCTCTCTGAACCCTGTGGGCTATACTGCCCCAGATAGACTTCACCTGCATAGAGAGAGCGTACAGACCACTTTTGTGGTGCTCATGCTCCACATTGATCCTCAAAATGTGAGCGGATTCTGTCACATAGGTAAAATACTTACAGCTGACACTAACATCTCCATATGGCAGTGGGAGCAATGGGGAATGCAAAGGGTGCTGGGTATATCGCAAGATTGGGTTCCTCCTATATGTCTGTTCCACTACTTCAAAATTTGTGCTGTTTTCCTGGGGAAAAAAAAAAAAAAAAAAAAGAATTATCCTCAAATCGGGTAGTCTTTCGCAGGATATCCTTACACATTTAGATTCAAGCTCAACCACCTTTTCTAAGTTTCTGGAGGTCCATAGAGGGACTAAGTGACCAAAGCATAATCCACATATAAAAATTACTCTGTACATTATTTCTGAAAAAAAAAATAAGAATAGCCATACTGGGTCATACCAAAGGCCACCAAGCACAGGATCGTAACTTCAAATGTAGCTTATGGCTGATACGTAATGCAAGCATGTACAGGCATGTATGGCATGATTCCTCCCTGGTATAGCCTTCAAGCTTTCAATAGTAAATGGTTAACGGACTTTCTGACCACAGATCCACCATGTTTAGTATGTAATAATGAGCCTGTTCTTGCTGAATCTGTCTGGTTGTACTACGTGTGTTTACAGAACAGACAACCAAAATGCACACAGTGTTCAGAATCCGGGCCTGTCACTGTCATACACACTGGCATCAAATTCTTCCACATTTTGTCCTATCTTCCTTCCTTAACAGTACCTAATGCTCCACTTCTCCTTTAATGCTGAGCTGAAATTTTCCAAGATTCTCCATAATCACCCCCAGCTCTTTCTTCCTGAATAGTTACTATCTAATGGCATCTAGTTTAGAGCTCATCACAACGTGTATGTTTACATATACACCTCTTCTGAAATATGCTTTGCTGTGTCTTCTAATATGATTCTACATTTAATTTGCCAAAGTTTCTGGAATTAAGCCTTTTAAAAAATTACTCCTGCTACAGTGGCACAATTTCTGCTATTTTGAAGGACATTTTCTTTCCACCCCGCACTCTGCTATTTAACCACATAAGCCTAAAGTGTGAAGAGGACTTCGGGGTACAGCAAAGTCACATGGCTGGTAGGAATGGAAGTTTTTATATTTGTGCCTAGAGGATGCTTAGGAGAGGAAAGGATGAAGCAGGGATTTGCAAATACTTGATGGCGTAATCCTGCATGCGATTTGTAATTGCACAGCAGCGGTAGCCAAGATTTACACAGATCATCCTAACGCAAAATAAAGTTTACCTAACATTCAATTATTAGTTGCACAGTCATTTAGGTTTCTTTTCTTTTCCCCCTAAGACAGCAGCCCCATTTCTTGCCACATTCTCAGCAATGACTGGGTAAGGCCAGGGGTGATCTGCCTGCTCCCAACTCACTTTGGAATTAGCGTGATGCCACCTACCCTGATGTCACGAATGAGTTGCTGTGTAGGTGTTTCTATGGGAACTTTGCTGTCAATGACACCTTGAATGGCAGAGGCCCAGCGCATAGCTTCATTCAGCAGCTTCGTGTACAGTCTGTAGGAGTGCTTTCGCCCATGGACAATGATGTTCCAATAGCCTGTGGAAAAACGAAGAAGGTGGAAGGTGAAACTTGCTTCCCTGTTATCTTCTCCTTTTGTCTGTAGCACGTGGCTGAGGAAAACCCTTGCTGCTTTGATAGCAACATATGGTGTGTCTGGTTAAAATTGTTTAAGTAGGCATTAACATATTTATCAGCAAGATAAAAACATATTTATCAGCAGGAAGGACCCAATCCGAGTTTTGGTACAAAGACAGCTTTCCAAGATACAAGTATCTTGCAGTGTAACACGAATACTTCCCTGCCAACCAGGCAGCTCATTTTCACAGACAGGGTTTGGGCTACACTATCAGTTAGAAAATGACCACTCTGAACACAGCACCCGGTCAGATTGCCAAATCAATTCTCATGAATTTTAAAAATAACATGTTTAACATAAATTGAGAGAACAGGTCAAGGCGATGACAATTCACTCTGCTAACGGCAGCCCTAGACATCTGTTGCGAGTGAGCAGAATAAGTTTCCTCTCATCTCAGTTTACTAAATGCTTCCAGCCCTTTTTAAAAATATCCCCGAGTAACTTCACTACTCAAATGTCCAGTATTTCAAATCTTGTTCTGAGGTCCACCTTCCTTGACACGGGGATTCACCCTTTGCCTCATAAACCCCAGTTCCCTCCCAAACTCATAAGGCAAGCAATGGAGGATCGTGCCAGGTCCTGCCTTCCCAGAGCTGTGTCACACTGCAGAGAAAGCAAACAGAGGCCCTTGTCAATCTTTTGTTTCTAACAAGTTGAGTGATGCTACAAAAGAGACTTACAGTGTACGCCGTTCCTCTTATTTAAGAGAGTAACATTGACCCCAGCGACAGATGTGGGTTATGCCACAAAGTGACAGCTATTTATGGAGATGTACTGATAATTGCAGTGTCACCTATATGAACTCATACCCCCTTCCCTATTTGGGAAACACTTAGATAAATAGTGATACTACTCAATGAAAAAACATCAGCGCTGCATATCTCCATCAGGTGTGAGGGACTTACCATCACTTGCACACTACTCTCTGGCCCTTTGCAAGTCTCTTACGGTTTCTGTGGGGAAAGATATTTGCAGCCAGAGCCTCAGATAACATTAAGACTATCTCCTCAACATGACATACCACCACACTCCTGCACCATCCTCTCTTCGGGCAACCCCACACATGGAAAGTCTACTCATTACCACTTTCTTCCTCTTACCTGTGTCTTTAAAGACCCTCTCATCGGGCTGCACTACAGAGCAGAGGCTATTGAGCACAAGCGTGCCAAGCTTGGCAGCTGTGCGCTCAGATGACTTGTAGTAATCGAGGGCAGTGTTTGTCAGAACAAACCAGCGTTTCTTCATCTTCAGAGAGGACATCTTGTTGCTGCTCTGAACCTCTTTATGAAGCCAGCCTAGCACAGGAACACAAACACCGTCAGTGGTCTCACCACCACAGTCATCCTGTCTTTTGCCTGGTGGCTCTCTAACTCTGGGACCAGAACTCCACCTCTCTGCAAAAGGCTCATCTGGGACCTACCAGCTCTGCTTTACTGGATATAGCAGTATCTTGGCACTGTCACTGTAAGAAATCGGCCCACAATTTTCCACATCCTTCAGCCCTATGTATTTTTTTAATCAATGATCGGTGGTTTAGTTTGCCATCACCGTGAGGGCATCCTCTATTCAGGATGCTTCCCTCAGAAGTCACAAACATCTGAATAAATAAGTTACAATTCATCCTTCCAAAGAGATGCCAAATGCCTGTCCAAACCTTGATGGAAGAGGTTTGGTGATAAATGTCTTCCAGTAGAAAGATCTGTAAGCATTACATGCATCTCTTCCTCCCACAGACAGGAAAAATAATTTCTCTCTCATTTTACATTCCTCACAAAAGAAAAAAAAAAAAAAGAAAAAGAAAAGAAAGTTCAATACTATGAAAGAAAAAATGACAGTCTGTATTGCTAAAGCTGTCAAAAAGATAATTTTATATTTCGAGCTGTAAAAAGCAATGTCCACCCACAAGGCAAAAAGTTCAAAGAATGTGGGACTGAGCCGAGGTTTCATATAAAGAAAAGATAAAGAGACAGACCTTCCTGAATATATGCCTTCATGTCTACACCGCTGTCACACACATATCCTACTGTGAAGCGCAGAGCATACAATGACTTTGCAAAGGAGCATTCTTTTTTTAATTTAACTAATGAACAATATGAGATAAAAAGAACTGTTGCCTTCCAATTAAGTATTTTCAATTTAAGGTAATTGAACTGTTGTCTCATAATCTGCTTTATATCATTCAATCTCCTTGAAATGTTTTAAGACTAGCATGGAATGCCTATGCCACTTTTTGGTGACCCTTTTCTTCTTGTCCTCCTGCCTTGCGATGACCACTCTCAGACCTTTATTCCCTCACAGATACTTTCTGAAAGACGTAAGGCAATTTGCTCATGCACTTGCTTTCCACAGATTGGATCAGAAGTGTCTTCGTTCATTTAAGACTATGTGATTAGCTGAAAGTACTAAGGCACTTTAAAAATATTTGAGCCAAATGGGGGAATATTTTGTAATATGTGTGTGATCGCTACTCATGTATTTCCTCCGTCTCCAACTAAGCCCTAACTAGAGACATAATTTAAGTCTTTTGCTCAGCTTCAGAGAATTATTCTCACCTCACTATGTCTACCATAATCAGGTTAGTTTGTTTAGCTGAGGACAGCAGACAAAGATCTCTCTCCCTCTCTCTCTACATGACAGGTGTCAGAAGGAACAGAGCTCTCTGAAAACAAAAGCTGCAGTGTCATGTTATATTCAGCCCAAGCCAGCTGCTCCTAAACAGCAGCCATGCTCCCTCCTAATTCCCTGATGGCATTTGCTGGACATGTTGAAATAGGCTATGGAACTAACATCAGAAAACTAAATGTATAAAGAAGTACTTTTTTTGTTTTTTTTTTTTTGCCAGCTTTAGCTTTCTGAATCCACCTGACAGGGAATCAGATGCGAGCCAATGCCAGCACAACACGGGACACGGTAAGTAGCAGGCAGGAAGGTGCAGAGGGGCAGAGAACGATTGGTTTTGGGGAGCAGCTAAACCCTAGATTGATTAGCTACAATCAAGCCTCCCCCTCAGATTATAAATGAAAGATGAGTTTCACATGTTGTAATTGCATGCATTTCCTTTTACCTCTCACAAGGAATTCCTGGCCATCAACCTTAGATTCGCCTTTTGGTTTCTGCAGCAGGGAGATCCAGTGATGCATCTCCTCAGGGGTGTCGCTGTTGCAGTGAATCACTCGATTTGCTGTGATGATCACAAAAGAATTTGGTCTGCCAGAAAATAAAAGCATTAAGATCTGTCCATTACCATACAAATATCTCAACTCACAGCACACCCAAAGCCATGTCCCCTACCTTCCCATAAACAATGCAGAAAGATTCTCTGAATACAAACTACAGAGGAGCGTAGAAACGCTTAAGAGCATCTCCTATGCAGTTGGTCTGCAAACTGATGATTGCAGAGACCAGATAAATGGAATTAAACATCTTTCCAAAGCTATTTCCAAAGACTAGAAAGCATCAGTTAGCTAATGACCAGCTGTAAAATGTCCTGGGTTCATCAGCAAAAGACTTGTTCTACCTTCTGATTGGACTGAGCTAGTGCTAGCACCACTGGGCTGAGCTAGTACAGCCACCCTCCTCATACTTCTAGAAACCAGTGATGCAGTGGCAAACATGGGTCCCAGCAGGGTCAGCTAAAGTGGGTTTGAGATTGGTTTTAGAAAGGATGAGCTGATCCTAACAAAGCAGAGGAAAAACTGTTATGTTGCTCCTAGATGACTTTGTCCTCTTGCAACAGACAAATGTGTCCTACCAAAAGAATATTCACAATTCTGCACAGAATTGATCCTTTACGGGAAAATGGAAAAATAAAAATGTGACCAGTTCCAAGAGGAAAGACTCAGAAAGCTTTGAAAGCAAACACAAATTTCTATGAGAAAACAGAGAAATTGAAAATGCTTCAAGTACGAAGCAAGAGGTGCAAATCAAGCAACTGTCTGGCCATTGCATCAACCTATGGAAGATAAAAATAAGCATTCTCCTCAGAATTTGTTTAACGTTGATTCAAACGTTGACAGTCCAGAAGAGTGTACCTCAGCAGATGCATGAGCAAATTTTGACTGTTCAGCTTACTATTTACTGGGACACAGATTAACTATGAGGAGCCCAGGCTGAGAACTGGCCTTTTGATCAATGAAATCTTAGCTCGCTACTGAGACACGCAATTTCTAAACTAGTAACCCCAAAGTTCTGGCAATCTGTGTGAGAACAAAAACAGACCACAGAGGTAAATAACTTAATAGCTAACATTTTACTTCGACACTGTAGTAAGAATCTTTGCCCCGGCTGAACCTGTTAACACTGCAGGAAATAATTAAATGTTAAAGTAAAGTGATAGGAAATGTCCCATAATCTTTTCTCTGCAACTAACCAATCTGTGAACTGAAGGTCTGCGCTCTGTTGCATAGCAAAGATTTCAAGAAGAGTACAGATTTCTAAATTCATCCATTATTCTTCCACAAGGCTGTTTCTTTCCCCTAAATTTACAAGATTAACTCAAAATTACTCTGTTGAAAAACAGGAAGTGCTGCTTTTGCTGGAAATTTTTGTTTAGTATTGATAATAGGTAAGACTATAATTTCTTGATATTGATATTATGTTGCTTCCATTTTTAAGAGGGAAAGGAGAAACTTTTGTTCAAAGAAAATACACCTGTGAACTTCATGCCTGTGAAGTGACATAGCTTAAAACAAGCTAAAGACTTCAGTTATGTTTATTTGTTTGGAGATAAATTCTTATGAGTTTACACAAATGCAAACCACAAAGAAAACCTGGACCTACCCACAAAAATATGTTGGTTTCTGATCTAAAAGATGATCAGGGTGCTGTACGTACCTATCTGGATTGTCTGAGGCACAGACAGAGTCAATAAGCCCAACATCCAGGGTCCCCTGTACAGTGAGAAAGACACAGATAACAGGAATTGCTTGCATCTTAAATTACAGACATTCTCCTTTGTGACTAGGGCTGGAACTGAAAACATTCTTCCGAATTCCAATAGCTTGAGTAGTAATGAACATACGAGAAAGGCACGAGTGAGTCATCTTTGCTCCCTGAACAGCATAAGAAGATGTGCAAGGGCTCCATAGGACTGGAGAAAAAAGAGCTACAAATTTCCAGAGAGCATTAGAAAGGTCTGAAATAACCTTTGCTAGTATCTCAGAACTAGCAAAACACAAATACCTTGTTCTTCCCAACTGCGTATCTTCTGTCTGGAATAACTGTGACCCAGACTAGTCCCATAATCCCATCCAAAGACATTTTATCTGCATGAAGCAGCCCCCCTCTTCTGCCCAAACCAAAGAGGTGATCAAGCTGAGCCACCCACCACAACCACCATGTTCCCCACTGCTTACCCTCTTTTCTATCAGCTTTGCTGTTTCATTATAATAATTGTCCAACTTACACTGCTCATGAACTACAGCACTGCATGTGCTGGAGAAACATGCACAAAATAGTTAAACAGAGGGTTCTAAGCGTGCCCACAGACTGGTTGCACAGTAACTCACCACAGCATTCTTTGGATTGGCCTGTTCATCTTGCATTTCCCTCAGCTGCTGTGCTGTAGCGCTGTGTACTCGGCTCAGGACATTAAACCAACCACTGACAATCAAAACAGACTCAAAGTTAGGACTCAGGTAGCAAAGCTAGCTCTAGAATATGATCAAGGAACCCAGAAAGCTACCTGTGGGAAAATGTCTTCATTCACAATTTCCTGAGGACTGTGCTACAAAATATCTCTTGGGCTGACCATACCAGACTCTAATGTCTTCCTCCTTATTTATCGATGAAAATTCTGTGCATGTTGTTCAACCCACTGACAGCTGCTCCCGCAAAATCCAGTTTTCTACTTGCTATTCAAGGAACGGTAAGGCCTTACCAGGCCGCACATGTCAGCAGACGGAGAAGAGCATATAGCAGTTGTAAAGACAAGGTCAGTTGGGAATCTTCCTGAACTAGAGTCCTAGAGACGCCTGGGAGCCTTCTTAACTAGTTTCTCTCTGATCTGCTCATAAACTTGAAAGTCATATGGCTTTCAATTAATCACGGGGGGGGTTATAAGTTAATTTGGAGTTAAGTTATTTGTCTGTGAAAGGGCTTTTCGGTACAGACATATCTGGAGGCTAATCTCTGCTGCAGAACAAACAGATTCTTATCTGCAGCTTCCACTGAGATCCGCAAATATCTAGACTTCATGGAGGATTTTCAAATTGGACACTCTACGACATCTGCTAATCTGCCCTTTGCTAGTGCAAGTGTTGGTGCTTTCTTCTCCCTCAGAACAGAGACTGACAGGGCATTGACAGAGGCCACATTCGGTTTATACTTGCCCTAGCAATTCTGCAGTGCTATCTTAGGGCATGCTTATTCCAGCTGTGGAAGTTCTGGGTTAAGTTACTGTTTCTTCAGCTACTGCCCCTTGAGTTTGCCTGTGTCTTGTTCATGTGGCTGTTCTTTAGTATATTTCTGTTAATCTATTTGTGTCCAAACAGTTTCCCCTCTTCCTCTCTCTACGTCCAAATGAAATAACAACACACCCTAAATAACTTCACAGAATCAGACTAAAGTAGATCAGAGAAACAGTTACACTGGCTGGGCTGAGAGAGCAGAAGCCTTGGTAAGAGTGGGAAAAGTGGTAAGACACGAGCAGCTAGGGACAGTAACCTCTTAACTTGGCTTTGCATAGCCAGAACAGGTTGCCCAACCTGCCCTTAAACAACTGATTCCCACTGCCTGCCCAGAACGCCAAGAAGGAAGGACATGAGTCATTTGTTTGCTTTGCACTGGGAAGATTTTATCAGATGACACTACAGACTCTGATAAGCTGCAGCCTTTTCTCTGTCTCCTGGATAAGACCCAGCTGCTCTCGCAATCATTTACAGACAACATGAATAGACTTTTTGTTTGATACAAGATTCCATTTAATAAATAAATCAGCTATTAGATGTTCCAGTTTATATTAAGGTTTTGTGTGTCTCCTGAAGTAACCCTTGAATTCAGCATGCTCACAGCCACATAAGAAGGTGGAAGTCCTGTGACTGACCAACAAAAAACTGAACCAGCATCTCCACAGCTGCAACAGAGAGACCCAAAGTAGGTGTGGTACCTCCCAGTAAGAACAAAATTACACTCTGGAATGAATCCCCTCTTTTCTCCAGCAAAAATGAAGGGATTATGTTTCCCAGACTCTCCCATGAGCAGTTGGGTCAGACCTGCACTGACTGAAAAAACCTAAGAAAACTCCTCTTATACCTGGCATCTTCGGGTGACTCTGCGACAATGTGATAAACTCTGTCTTCTGTCACAATGTCCAAGGCATTCTCCTTTTCATGAATGTCCACAATCTCCCTGGAACACAGCAAATCACAAGAGCCAAAACTGAAAACCTTTCACAGGCACAAATTCCATCTGGTCAGTTTTTTTTCACGTTGTACCATTCACCATGCGGACAGAAAATCGCTGATTTAGACGCCTTCTAACTCTGACAGAAATACAAAATTCCTCTAATACATATTAAGACTTTTAGGGACCCCTTAAAAAGATTTGTACAGTTAAACCATTACAAAAGCAAAGCTTCAGGCGTTAAATGGATTTTCTTCAAGACACCAGCAGACTAGATGGAAGAAGAGGTAACAGGGAGGTCGATATAGAAGGCTGTTTACAAAGTGGGGTGTGCCCTTCTTTTTGACTCTTTACAGGCCCACATAATGCCAACAAGTGACTAGTCTCTCTCTCTTACAGCAGGAGCTGAGGAATTGGCTATGGCAGCAAAAAGAGCATTCAGGGCTCAGGAAAAGGCGTAGTACACGCTGCCAAATTCAAGTCCCACTGTGAGCTTCATACCACCTCTGTGAAACGCATGGAGAAGCCAGGAAACAGATGGAGTCAGGGTAGGGGAGAACGCATGGGCTATGCACTTAATTAGCCCCTCCTGGTCTGGCTCAATCCATGGCTTGGAAAGAGCTTCTGCCAGATTATGAAATGCAAGACTGGAAAAAGAACTACTAAGTAATTCTAGCCTCTGAGTGTCTTTTCCTTCCCTCACATTTTTGAATCTCCCAACCCTATGGGAGATACATAGGCCGATGAACTGACAGCACTGAACACTTGATTATTGATTTAGAGAGTGAATACTAGAGATCAAAAGGATTTATTTCTTCACTCACTTTGCCCTTCTGATATCAATTGTCCCCTTCAGCTTTTCCTCACTATCATTCTCAAAGTACATCAGCTTGGATTCTCTAAGCACAAACCAACGGCGTTTCCAGTTGCGGCGTGAAAGCGTTGACATGCCTCCACCTTTTTTATAGAGCCAGCCAGACTTCAGTGCCTCTTGCTTGGTGCGGAACCACATGAAGGCCTCGTTCTTCAAAACACACCAGCGCCGCCTCCACGGGTTCATGAGACCTCCTGCAAAGTGAGGGAGCAAGATTTCATCAGACATGCAACAAGACATGCTTAAGTTTGGACAGAGAAAAAACAGAACCAACCAGTGAAACAAACACAAAGTATAGAAATATATGCACTACTCAAATATTTTTATATTGTCTTCAGTTTTGTAGCTCAGAATGAGCCATTTAAGCCCATACTAAGTGGGCACAATTTTGTCCCAGTGGCAAAGATATCCAGTCTAATTCCCTGACGTCCACATCCTAGCTCTTTGTTCTATTTGCTTGTTTTAAATAAAAGAAGAAAAAAAAAAAAAAAAAGAGAGAGAGAGTAAACAGAGAACTAAGAGCAGATGAAGACGACGATTCTGGAGAAACAGAAGAGGAAAGTGGGTTTCCTGGATTCCATCCTCCCATGGTTTTGGCTAAAGCCGCGTACCCTTCATGTAGAGATAGCTGTGAAAATAGGGTGGTCCTGAGCCATTGAAAATAGTGACTCGTCCATTACAAAACTCTTCATCTGTGTCAATGTAAACATCCACTTCTTCTTCACTGTCCAGAAACTAAAAGGAAAAGAAGAAATACACGCTACTTGGGTTCTCCTGGTCGCAGGAGTGGAGCAAAGTAACAAGGCTAGAGAGGTCACATGATCAGAAGGTGCAAAACTACGCTTACTCCCGTTACAAAAAAAGCAATACAGTAAAACTAGAGGCTGGACAGCTTACCCATTAATGCCTAAAGCAAGAATCTCCAGAGCATGGAATTTTCATACCAGAAAGGAGAGTGACATTCAGCAGTGGACACGGCTAGAAAACTCCAGTTACCTGCAGTAACAAACCTTCCTGTTTCAAGGCAGAGGCCACAGTCCAAAACCTGATTTAATGGGATTAAGGGAGAATTTTTCATTTTGGAGGATTTTTCTGATTTTTTTTTTGGCAGACATGCCAAGATGCTGGACAAGACAGAGCACTAATCTAACCCCAGCAAGGAAATATCTTGCTTTGGTTTGATTAGGAAAAAAAGCACATTCCAGGATAACTGAACCCTAAAAACAAAGACCTAAATTACTGAAATAATAGTACAGTATTTACTCATCCCTGTTCTCCAACTAGATAACGGCCCTCAGCCATAAGAAAGTACTTCACACATGAAATCCCAAATTACCCTATCATTTCCTTTACCTTAAATACAACGTCCTTTGATCGTCTTTATTAATTTAGTACTAACGAAGTCAGGTCCTTAGACCTCTTTCTTCCTCAGATGCATGTTGCTTCTTTTCATTTTCCCTTCTGTCCTCTGTGACCCCTGTGCATTCCTCTTCTGTCTCATTCCTATTCCACTCATTCATTCTCCTTCTCTTGCCATTAAGCTTCAAAAAGCAGGTACTCTTAGATTGGCAGCTACTGATGGGATCTTGACCCAGCTGCAGTTATCTCTTCCTGTGGCTCATGCCATGACATAGTATCAACTGGATTTTTCATGACTCTTACTCACTGAGCAGCCCAATAAAATCCTCCACTTCTATTTACATTTTAAGAAGAATGGTAGAAACTGGCCTAAATTGTGACAGAATGATTCATGACTTGAAGATTACCTGACAGTTATCTGTGAGTACCAGCCCACAGAGAAGGTACCTTTACTCAAGCAAATCGTTATCATAAAAAATTCTGATGGCTGGCAGCTGACGTTAGGGAAACGCAAACAGTAAAAATCATGCAACTTTTTAAGAAGGGTCACAGTCTGCCTATTGGAAAAGAATAGCAAAGGAAATAAACTGAATTCCTTAGAAAAACAAAACCAAACCAAACAAGCAATAGTTTTCTAAAAGATATTTTGTAGCTCAAGTCTCTATTCTCAGGGACACCATTTATCTTAAGTATTTATATGGCTGTCATTGGCTTCACACCTGAACTCCTCACAATCTTGTGTGGGCTTATCTGACATCCTGTTCTGTAAGGGGATTTATCGTTGCGTTATTAAGCAACTAGCCTGAGGGCACTCAGGAAGTCCAGAGCATAGCGTGGGATTGAAGCCGAGATGCTTCATGCACAAGGCTAATAGCCCAGCTTTACTACCCTGTCATTGTCCCTGCGGTAGGAATAAAAAGATTCAGTGGTCTTGGTTGTGTGCAATGGGCCCCAGCCTGGATCAGCACAGTAATTTCTTCAAGCCTTAGGACAGTTTAACTTGTACACAGTGGCTGAAAATAAACCCTTGACTCTGAACAGTGACAGGACTAGAACAAGAGAAGTTTTAGTGATGGTAACAAATAAACCCCCAGCCTTTCCAATTCCCTCTTGTGACTGTCCATTAGCAGCTCGGGCTACTTCTGCGAAATCTCTCTAAGGTAGAACACACACCTACAGGACACTAGTTGCCTGCTTCAGTCTTCCTAAAGGGTGTTACATATGGTGATGGAAACAATCCAGAATAGCCTAGGTACGTATGTGCTAGCTTGTGTACCAGTGACACTGGAGAGTCACAAGCCCCCTGGCATTCACCCTATCTATGGCTCTTCCCTTTTTTAAAGCTGATTATTGATATAAGAGGAGTTATATATTAACAGCAATACCCAGAGCAAGCAGGCATACAGTAAGAAGGCAAGGATGTTATAAATATCAACGAAGTCACACTAATGTCTGGAAAGGTGAAGGGAAGGATTCTTACCGAGTCCAGGCTGCCACGGTTGGAGTCCAGGCTGGTACCGTGGGAGTGTCTCAAACCTTCCTCACCATTCAGGGGCTCAGCTGAGGCGCTACCTGCATCTCCACAGCCATCAAACTCCTCATGGTCGTAGTCAGACTCCACATCTGGGGGGGAAGTGTAAATCGGCTCTCCCACCTCTCCACTGTTACTCCTCTGTGTATCTGAGACGGTGTTGTGAATGCTTTCTGCTGGGTCAGATAGGGCTCTCTGCTCTTTGGCGCTAGTGGTTCTTTCCACAGGTTGCCCTGGAGCAGGGACAACCTCTCCCGCTACTCTTTGGACAATTGAAAGGCTTGGGTCCACACCTTTCTCTGAGTAGTTATCACTGTTTCTTGTGCCATGCTGATTCAAGACCACCAAACTGGAAGTTGGCCGTCCTTCGTCATCGGCATGAAAACCCTCATCTACTTCTTCTTCAGCCAGTGGTGCCACCAGGCTGCAGTCAATGTTGAGTGTCCCCTCACTAGAAAGCGAATGCTCTAAGTTCTGCACACTTTCATCCAGACTGCCAAAATCCAGCAGCTCCAAGAACTCCTGGGCAACCCTAGATGCCTCCTTTTCCAACCTCTGGATCTCTTCTTCTCGCTGCCGATTGATTTCATTCCTGGTGTTTTCACAGATGATAGACATGTGATCCTCTTTCTGCTGCTGCAACTTCTCAATCTCCTTCTCCAGTCTTAAGATCTCCTCCATCTGACGTCTCTCTTCTTCTTGCAAGGGAATATCTACCTCCTCAGTCTTTACTGCTTCCACCTTAAAGAATTTATAAGCGTGTTAAAGCAGTTTCTCCAACCCATGTGTTCCTTGCCTGGACCTTTCATTCTTCCTGTCTCCTGTGCTTGCCTTGTACCTCCCATGTGCTAAAAGATTACTCTAAGCATCCTCTCCTTTTCTGATCAGCATATGCCATCATCCATCATGTAAATGCCAAAGTAGAACTACTGGGTCTTCAGGTACTTCCTCTTTTCCAGCAGCCTACCTCCTTTCTGAATCATACAAAGTAGCTCACTGCGATCAGTAAATTTTTAGAAAAGCCTCTCTATATGCTGTTCATGTTACAGCCCTTTGTACACTACAGTTTGTATAAAAGTATTCTCAAAGTCTGTCCTCTCTTTTTGAACTATCTCACACACACACATATATAGGAGAAAGCAACTCTATATGAATACATACATACATAGCCTGCTGAAGATTTCCCGGAAATTCACTAAAAGATTTGGGGACCTTGTTGCTTCCCAAGTTGAGGGTCTGACCATCAGAATCTAGGTCTGGAAGGAATATCTGCAATGAAGCAGGACTGTATTCACTCCAACCCAACCCTACCCCACCAAAATTCCACTCAGAATTTCTTGGCGTTCTTTAGCATCACTGTACCCAACCCCACCAAAATCCCACTCAAAATTTCTTGGCGTTCTTTAGCATCACTGGATGGATGATGGCTGGCTGGCTGCTGAAGACTCTGTCTCCCTCTATTCTCCACATTGAAGTAAGAGGAAGTTTCTAGCAAGCACACCATAATTAGAAGATGGAAGATACTGGTAACTTTCACTGACATTTAGCTATAAGGTAAAGCCACCTTCCCCTCCATGGAGGATATTAAAAACACAGACACACAAGAAAAAGCGAAAATGAATTCCAAAAGGATTTCATGTACTTCCTGATAGGAGTATGACAACGCAGCCAACGAATTGGCCCATTTAAGCCACAGTCCTTGTTTTCTTTACAACTACCCCGTTGCTTGTTCTCTACTTGACTCTTAATTGTGGACAAATGCATTTTTATACTCCAGTCTGACCTCTCTCCTCAACAGAGCTGGCCTGGGGAACAAGTGGTTCGGTGCAAGAAATAAGAAGATATACAGCTGTTTTCACACAGCTCAGGGTAGGTGGTCTGCTCTTTGATATATCATGTATGAAAAACCCAATCAGATCAGTTACAAGGGGTTTATTTTAGCCATGGTAGCAGCAGTCTGCACTCTTATTTTGGCTGTGACAGGCAACAATCCAGCAAAACAGACTGTGTCACAGTGTAGCACATCACAAGGTCATGTAATAAGCTCAAGCAGTAAAGATAAAAAAGGATGCTGCACACCCAATACAGAAATTTTCAAATAGGAACTATGCAAGCTGGTAGATCAGCTTGGGAAAAAAAACAAACAAACACCTTGTTAACTATGCACCTCTGCCAAAGCCAAACACCTGCAGGTTTTGAGTGAACAAAGCCCATTTTTAAAATAGTGTTGCCACAATAACAACAGTAGCTCCAGGCAAAGCGTGGGCAATGAAGGACCCTTCACAGATACTCAGAGAAGACATATGAAAAGAGTAACTGTTCAACTTACCTGAGCCACCTGGAGCAGCACATTCAGTTGTTCCTTTTCTCTGTTAAAAAACAACAAATAATAGTCAGAGATAGACCTAATTCTCCTACACAAGGCTTTTAGCATTATATGGACACTTCATCCCTCCACGGATAAGGTTAAAATAAGGTACCTGTTGTAAGATTGATTTAAAAGCTTTTGTAATTTAGTAAAAATCCAATTCTCTGTGGTCGGCATGACCTTTGTGGATCCAACAGATTTTCCCCATGCACTTAACTTTCAGATCAATCAGGAAATTGAATTAGTTGGAACACACTTTGACATTGGAAACAGTGACAGAAAGACACATCAGTTAGACTCACAATAAGTGTAAATAGAATCTTCTGAAGTACTATACATCTGTGGCTATTAAATGAGGTTGTACATGCGTAATTGACAGATATCAGGAAACTGTGTTTGGTTTGTTGGGGTTTTTTTGTTGTTTTTTTTGGGTTTTTTTTGTTTTGTTTTTTTTTTTTAACAGAACAGAATTATTGCAATACCAACATTGAATTTGTGTTTTATTTTGCTTTTACTATATTAAAATATCCAAAAAGTTATCAAATTTTTGTACTTTGTTAAATGACTAGGCTGAGGACTTTCTATTCTGAAGACCTGAGTGTTCCAGCTTGCGTAACTTCTCAGTGGCACGCAAAACACAGTCTACTAGTAAAGGCTGTAAGAGTCAAGGTAAACACAAGTATAGGAAAAAAACTATCACACGGTGCTGCATCTCGACCCAGATCAAAAAGGTTTTACTATAAGGGAAAGCTGTCACTACAGCCAGTTTCTCATACCAAGCATGTGACAAGCAACTGAACTAGTAGACAGACAAATGCCAGGGTCGTGCATAGGGAGCAAGGATAGGATGTGGCTGGATGGAAGAGTCTGCCTGTAGCAACCACGGTACAGCTAAATTCAGACTGGCAGTGGTAACTCTCAAATCTATAATTCAACCCCAAGCAGAACAGGAGGGCAACACTATTTATTTCCCAGGCCCTGTAGCTTTTCCCAGCCAAATTCTAACTTGCAGCTGCAAGTCACAAAGTCCTTAAAGCTCTCACTCTTGCGCGCTCGCGCACTCTCAAAAAAATCCAGGAAATGTTTATAAATGAAAGCTGACATAAGTGAGATCCAGATGGTTCCAACTCTACTGAAAGATGTCTAACAGTAGTCATGAGTTAAACAACTGCCTTAAATGATATAAGGGTTCAAGAAGCAGAGCCGTTTTAAAACAAATCAGAAATACCACCTACAATCTACACACTAATTCCTGCAACTGTTCCTCACATTTTTTTTAGACTTCTGATATTTCTTGCTGCTTTCCACCCATCTCCAACTGATCCACACTCTTCCTGAAATGTGATATCCAAAACTAGGGACGGTACTCCAACTGAAGCCTTACCAGTGCCAAGCGGAACAGAAGAATCGCCCCCACGTCTTACAGAAACAATCCTGTTTATAGACAGCATTTGCTTTCTCCTCTCACACAGCATGACACTGATGACTAATACTAAACTTACCCTCCAGACCTTCTTCCTGCTGTTGAAGTAGGCATTCCTCCGTCTCTCTCTGTGCATTTGATTATTGCTAACTGTAGATCTGTGTGTCTGTATTGAATGCTATCCTATGCTTTTCAGACCATTTCTTTAATTTGCCAAAATTATTTGAATTGTAATCCTGTCCAGCTATACACTTACAGCCCCTCACCAGATGGTTTCATCTGCAAATTTAATAAGGATACTCGTATTTCTTCATCCAACTTATTATGAAAACATTGCACTAGCACCATATCCAGCACAGACCATGGAAGAATCCCATCCAAGAGTTGTCTCCTATTTAACAGAAAACTACTATTGTTTACTAATTAAAATGCAATAATACAATGCAGTAAACCCATAAATCCTAGTCTTGCTTCATCTACTTTTTTCCAAACCACATTCATTACAGTGTCTTAGAGTACTGTCCTAAGCCCTTACCTACCCAAAGGCAAGCTACCTACCCTCTGTGACTTTTCCCTGTCCACAAGGCATGTCATAAGCTATCACAAAAGAAAACAGATAACTTTAATGCTGTTTGTTCTTCAGAAATCCACATTGGCTCTTAACTCCTTTATCAAGCATTTACAACGCTATTACTTGTCTCGGTAGCTTCCTGAAATTGAGGTTAGGCTGACTGGCCCTCAATTCCCTTGTTCTTCCTTTTCCATTTTAAAAGGGGGTCACTATGTTTGGAATTTTCCAGTTTTATGGAAACTCCATTGCTATCCACAAAAGAGGAGAAAGGGAATAGCTGCTGATTCAAACTGCTTCAGCTGGTTCCTGAAGTACCCAAACACTAGTTTCGCCAAGTCTGGATGATTTCTTTGTAATCTGATTTATCTGAACATTCTTTAACTGTTTATTTCCCTGCTAGGTTCTGAATTCTTGCACATCTGTGCTAATTGTATTTAGTGCCCAACAGGTAAGCCTTTTGGGGAAGACAAAAAAAAAAAAAAAAAAAAAAAAAAAAAAAAGCATTAACAGCCAGGCCGGAGGAGAGGAAGAGGACGAGGCTGAACAGCAGACAAAATTGCTCCATGTCTCCCTTTTACCAACAGTGGATGCACAATAACCACATGCCAACTTTTAGTTTGTTATAGCTTAGTTTGCATCTTGGTCTTTCCAATTTTGTCTCTGCACATGTGTTGGGGTTTTTTTGCTTGTTCTCAGTAAATTAGCTGATTTGTAACTTCTGTGGATTTCCACCTCATTTTTGAGGTCAAATGGAAGTTCAGGGTTAGGCCAAGTTGGTCTGCAAGTACCTTTTTGGCTACTCACTCTGAATGAAGCCATTTGATACCAAGTAGAAAATGAAAGCTAAATGAGCAGTTCACCTCATCCCTAGAAACACTGACAGTTCTTTACAATGATACTGGGTTCAACATATCTTTCATGGGCTGGGAACTAGAAGGCGGGGGCAGAAACACTCTAGAATGAATAAGCTAAATAGGTACTTTTATCTAAAACTAGGTACGGACAAACTCTACTTAGTACAATGAGGACTGCAGATCTGAGAGAGCGTCTGTGGCATTTGATTTCTGCAAACTAGTTACTGACACTCTGAACTCATACAGCTTCGCGTTGCTGATGAGGCTGTAGTTGAAAATTGACACATTGATAAAACAGAGCCTTCAGTGTTGTTCAACAAATTCCTAGACCAAACTGTTCATCATTGGTATCACTGACCACGTCTTGTCCCAGCAGGATACATCACCCGACAGTCTCTTTTCCTTGTGACATGCTTCTAACCTTGGAATTTTCTGATCTTGTCACACATGTTAGTCTGCCAAGATCCAACTTCGGGACAAGCATGTAACAAAAGGCTATAAGAAATGTAACCAGCTATTTATGAAAACCTTAAAATGTCACAAGATTATTTGTTCAAACATATAATAATCTCGTAGGTTAAGTTTTATGCTTCTTAAAACAAAAGATTATAGAGACACCCAGTTTGGATAGGATGTAGATAACCATGGAGTGAACAGTAAATGGTGCACGAGGTGCAGGATTCTCAATAGGTGTACTGTCACTGGTCACAGATTGCCTCTTTTTGTCACATTAGCTTCTCCTTTCCCCTCCTGATCTCTTGACACATCGATATCCCTGATGAGAGATAAGCAGCAGCAGGAACAGGGAGAGCACGTGTATTCTCATGAGCTTAAGAACTGCAGTAGGAGCACAGGTGTGCTGCCCACCTTGCTCTCTGACCCAGCTTACTGGTCACACCAAGACCCATGATCTCTGGTGCCTTCTTGCACTGCTAAGCCCTCCAGATTTTGGAAGACTGCATAGAACTTCCTTCCCCATTGCAAAGAGAAGGAGAAACTTGTGCATCTCTGCCCAATCAGTGAAACCGCCTCCTTTCATGTATATTCCAAAGCAGAAAAACAATAAAAAACAGAGGTAAAAATACACCAGAATTAGCTTTCCTAAAGGAAGCAGGACACTCCTTTTCCACTCTGCTTTTCTATTCTGAGTAGCCCACAGCCCACCCCAACTCTGCCCCCTGGCACTGGGACACTGTTCCAGTGTCACCATCGTGTCAGTGCCCCAGACCTGCTTTTACACCTCAGCAGCTTCAGCGCTAGGGAACTACGGACGCAAGATACCATCTTGTACCTTTCCTTCACCTCTTCCTCTTCCCGTTTCCTCCTACGCTCCTCCTCTTCTTGCCATTGTCTTTCCTCTTCCTCTCTTCTGATCTGTTCTTCCTCTTCTCGCCTCCTCCTCTCCTCCACCTCCTGCTTCCGCCTGAGTTCCTGCTGCAGCAGGTGCTGGTAGAGGCTGCGAGCCAGGCGGCCACGCCAGTGCTTCTGCAGGGTGACTGCAGAGGCCTTCAGTTGCAGCAGACTCTTCTTCCAGAAGTATGCCCGGTAGTTCTTTTGGATTATAACAACACTGGCTAGCACCTTTTGGTACTTCTTCCTAAAAACAGAACCAGACACTTAATGCGCCGTGAAGCAATTCATGCCTTGTGTTTCCCGTGCCCTGGTACATTGAGCAATCTTACCACATCCACAGAAGAATGGCTTTGGAAAAATGTTGCTCAGAAATAACACAATTTCTGTTGCTCTACTGCCACTACCCATAAATCATATTCTCCTCACTGTTCTCACTCCTATATCTACCACTGGTTTGTCTCCATGGGCACCTGCTTTTGTGAAGACCCTCAGAGGACGAAGGACAGACATTTGGCACATGGAAAGAGAAGGTCCACTGGCCCAAACCCTCCCTGCATTGCACATCACACACATTCACTGTGCAGTTGGCTTCATCATTCAGTGAGGATTTATTTGATAGGACGAGGGGGAATGGCTTCAAACTGGAAGAAGGTAGATTTATATTAGATACCAGGAAGAAATTTTTCACTTGGAGGGTGGTGAGGCACTGGAACAGGTTTCCCAGAGAAGTTGTGGAAGCTCCATCCCTAGAGGTGTTTAAGACCAGGCTGGATGGGGCTTTGAGCAACTTGAGCTAGTGGGAGGTGTCCCTGCCCATGGCAGGGGGGTTGGAACTAGATGATCTTTAAGGTCCCTTCCAACCTAAACCATTCTATGATTCTATTATAATAAAAACATACAAATGGCCTTACTAAATGAGAACTAAGTCCTATATTGCCCTGCCTTTTAAGTGGCCAAAAGCAAATTACTCCAGGAAAAACAAAAACGGGGCAAAAATAAATCTGGTCATGTTAATCTGGCATTGTTTGGGGGAAAACACAGTGATACTACAATATTGATTGCTGAATGTAACATTGTAACAGGCTCCCATAAACATATACTTACATTGCACAACATTTTGCTTAAACAATAATGATGTCAAAATCAACTTTGCAGCACTTTAAAACCAAAAAACATGCTAGAGCCCCAAAAGAAAAGAATCATGATTTCAATATATCTGTAGTATAGTAAAGTTCTAGAAAAGTCAGTTCTTGCCTCTGCACTATAGAATATTTTTTATCAAGGACCTGAAAAAAAAAGTGACTGGTAGAAGTTTGCACATGATAGACAAACTGGGCAAATAACAAAAGGGTTACTATTACACAGTAATCTGGTTCAATTTGTAAGCTAGATTCAAGCAAACATTAAACAATTCAAAAGAGCCAAACATAAGGTCTTCTATTGAAGAACCAAAGGCCAAACACACCTGACACGGGACTATGTTAGGAAACAGTAAGTCAAAAAAGGATTTAGGGGCCACAGGGATCATCAGGTGAAGGCAAACTCTCAATAGAATCTTATACTTGCAAGTGGAAATACTGTGTAGAAGGTGACTGCATGGCTACTTTTATCCCCTGTTCAGTGGTAGCACCTCCATTTCAAGAACAATGGTGGACGCTCAAGTGATTTCTAAGGAAGCAGGATTGGAAGCAGAAATCCTGGCTTATAGAAAGAGAGTGTCTTCTCCATGACCTTAAGAAAGAGAAAGCTAAGGAAACACTTGATCCCAGTCAAAGTACCCACAGTTTTGGGTGGCATTTCTATTTCTCCAACACGGGGCATAACAAGATTTAATTGACCTGAAGCTGAAGTCTATTCAGGCTGGAAATAAGTGGACATTTTTAAAAGTAATTTAATATATTTAAACACCTTGATAAAAAAAAAAAAAAAAAAATCATTGGCACTATTCAGATCAAAACCTTCTTTACTCCAAACCAGAATTTGCAGAGGGAAATTCTATGGGGCTGTTACCCAGGATCCTGGGCCAGCAGACTACAGTAATCCTGTGAGGTCTTACAGTCCTAGAAAGCACGCTGGAAATAGCACAGTATTCTCACATATCCTTCCCACAGACCTTCTGCAACCCCTGAGGAAAAGACACACCTCAAAATCCCCTTCCTGGCAATCAACCCCCCTTCAAATAGCAACAGGGACCCATGCTGACAGCTTGCCACCTCCCTGCACGTCAGATACTAGTCGAGAAAATGAGGAGAGGGATGCTCATAGCAGTAACGTGCAGAGGTCACGCTCTTTTCCATAAGTATTAAGTCAAAGGCAGGAAGCACAGAGAAAAGAAGAGGAAAGGGAAGAGGTGATAAGAAGTGGGAGGTTTTACATGAATTGCTCCTGGGCTGCAGTCGCCTCACCCCTGCTCCCGCTGTCCTCCCTGCGCCCTGCACACGGGGTGTGAACAGCTGCACACGCACCTTCTGCCAAGGCAGATACAAGTGCATCAAAAAGGGCACTCTGACTTTTACAAAATTCATCTGCCAGAAACTCTCTCAAGTGCAACATGTGCCAAGCCCTGCCCAGCTACGGGGCAGGCTCTGCCTGCTAATCTGCCAGGCTGAAGTGCCCCCTCATTCCTCATGACCGCAGCCAAGCTTGCGGACACCCTTCAGCCGAACTGCTGCACGCGGGCGGCGAATTTCATTCCCCTGCTTCAGTCTTCCACTCACCCTCTTGCACTGGCCAAAAAAAAGCCAACCTGCACCCCACGACGAGGAGCTGGGAGACATCCTGACCGTGTATCCCAAGAGAAGGTGGGGTGGCTACAAAGCTCCAATGGTGCATTTTGGAATTCAGTTAATTACATTGATGAGCTGTAATTCGCAGTTACGCCTCCAAGGACTAGAGAACACAGGGATCAGGAGTAATTTCCTACCGTCTCTTCCCTTGGGCAATAAGGTCCTATAGAATGCAGGGCCACAGCCAAATTTTTACATGGATCCTGCAAGCCTGGGAACAGTTATGTGTATTTTAGCTGGTGAAGCTGTTACCTGTAGCTCAGAGTTCCACAGATTAGCTACGAAAAACGGGGTTATTTGAATGGGCTTGATTTTCTTGTCTCGCATTTTAGTGATCAGTCAGAGATAGCGGGCTGCAGGGAACAAGAGCAAAAGAAACGTTCTCGCCCTTAGGACTGGTTCTCCAAGCTCACAGAACAAGTTCACAAAGGGGGAGAAACCAGTAAAATCCTTCCTGTGATATACGTACCCTTCTTTGCCAACCTACTTTGCATGAGACCAAATGAATTTAAATACATTCATTCTTGCAAAACTGACAGAAATGGTATCAAAGCTTAAAGCAGCGCACATGGGTACTCCTGACCTCTGCCCAACTCTTCACAGACCATTCACTACTTGCCCAGATGAACTCCCTTCTTGCTGGACCTTCTCCAATACAGGTGCAGTGCAACTGGAAACTCTTCACAGAAAAGTTTTCCAGCCTCTCTCCCTGCTCTCATCCCCTGCAAAGTCCAGTTATCTCCAGCAGCTTGTAAGGATTTCCATTCTGCCTGCAGAAGCACAGCTTGTTCGTGAGACTCAGAAGAGCAACATGTGGGACAAGGAATTCAGATCTGTGGAGACTGGAGGACCACGAGGTTCCTTGCAAAGAAGAACACTACTGCAACGTTGCTTCCACCACAGCCCTGCAGGGCAGCAGCTACCTTCGCAGCAACTCAGAAAAGCAGTAATCCAGTTTGCCGGCAGTGATGTTTCCCAGAAAAATCAATTTTCCTGTGCTAATCCCTACCCCTCTCTCCAACCGCTAGACACAAAGTAAAATGGAGCGGAGGCCCTGACACAAAGAACTTGCAATCTCATGTACAAACAATAGAGCTAGCTCATTTGTCTTCCTAGAGGGAAATAAATAAATGAGTAAAAGCCCCTGAGACCAAATGTGTATTTTGCTGATATTCCACACTGGCAAGGCAGGGTACAACCCTTGCACACATTTCCCAATGCAAAATGAGCTACCTGGTGTAACTGGAGCTCTATTAAGAGCGCCTGCTGAAACAGCTCTGCTGGCCAGGGATTTCACCTCCTCACACGCCTGACTGACAGGTGTCTGGAGCAGAGACCAGCCAGGAAAGAGCATCTTACTGGGATTAAGTGTGCATGCCACAGCCATTAAGGAGTCAGCTGTTAGGATGGCTGCGAGGGGCAGAGGAGGGGCGGTTTGTCTGCAGTTGGTTCTCCCAACCCTCCTCTGGTCAGGTGCAAAAGGGAGCGGCAAGAGGAGATTACTGGTGCAAAGCTGGCCAAAACCCAATTCTGAAGAGTTAATTAAAAGGAGAGGGAGATCACGAGGCAAACAGGCAGGGCGAGGAAAGAGGGTGAGCAAAGGCAGAGCTGCAAGTGAGGAAGAAGTGATTTGCAGGGGGAGCAGAAAGCGGAGTTGACAGGCGTAAGGAAAAGGAGAGGACCCAAAGCATAGGTGGGGCCCAGCCAGGAGAGCCCTGAAGGCAAGGAAAAGGTGTCATCGGAGGCAAGCAATGGGGGCAGAGGTCCCTGCAGAAGCCCGCTGAGCAGCGTTGAGGGAGGGAATTGAAGAAGAGGTGGCAACGGCGCAGAACTGTTTCAGCAGAACTGATGCCGGCAGGGAGGGCAGATAAGGCAGCTCTCCCTTGGAATACAGGAGGGGAAGAAGGGAGGGATGCGAGGGGACGAGAGAGCAAAGCAGGGGGTCGGGGCAACCCAGGCACACAAGCACAGGGATGGTGGGGCAGCCCCCAGCACTGACCTTGCCATGTAGCCCAAGACGTGGGCTCGGATGACTATAGCTGCTTTCCTCAACTCCTCTTCCCGATCCTTCTCCAGCTTCTGCTCAAGAGCTTCCTTCAGGAAAACCTGACGCCACGGGGAGGAGTTTCGATAAACACAAAGAGAGGAAAGAAGTCAGTCCCCGGGAGAGCCGGGAGATTTCATCCCCGGGTGACCGGCGCGGGGGTGCGCGTTGTGCCC